GTGGTTTTCTGAAGGCAGGGAGGGATGGGTACTGGAGGCCCTGATCATCCAGGAGGAAAAGGTAGATGGCCAACTGCTTTGAGAGGAATCTTCTGTTCAAACTTAAAACAGCCAAGAAACAGTTTCCAAACTTATATCACCACTCCACCTCCTACTGCCAATTGATCGGGGCTGTCTTTCCCTCTGAGTCCAAATGCAAACCTAAGACTCTTCACATGAGAGCTGATGGCCACCCAGACTATCCGATCCGCAGGCGAGAGAAGGCTGCTTTCCAATCTGAATGGCCCCGAGGCTCCTCCAGGTCCAAGGTCAGAGACTCCAGATCTGGCTACAGAGACTCAGAATAAAGAATCAGCGAGAAGCAGAGCACAGGAGAGGGGGTGATTTCCCTGCTGTAAAGGGCCCTCACTTGAAAGAGATGGTCACTGGCGTCGGAGTCGAGGGACTCCAGCGATGAAAGGAGGTTGAGTCCCACAAGCACTTGACTCACTTGCTGGAGCCCCCGAGTGGGGCCCCCAAGGCCATGCTCCCAGATGTTCCCACCAGGGGAACCCACGTGAAGAAGCAGATGCCTGCTGCGCTGAGCTCTCCCTCATCTCCTCCCTCCCGGCACCCACCCAGGCTCTGTCCTGCACATTTCATCTCACAATCTCCCTCATGCTCATCCACACGCTCCCTGCCAACAGCCAAGCCTGACCCTTCTGACCCCCGGGCCCTCTTCCAGGCTTTTCCCGTGCAATTTCCAGCACCGCTAGCTCCATCCAGAAAGAGTTTTGAACAAGAGAGTGGTATTTTTTCTTTCTGGCTTGTTCATTTTCATTATGATTTTCACAGCCAATTCCAGTAAATCTGCTACACTGATAGTCCCTCTTCATCATCCATGTTCTTCCAAATAATCTTAGATTTAATTTGAAATCTCCTTCTGGTAATATTCTGCCCCTAAAGAGAGAGAGAAAAAAACACATTCGTTTTTTCCTGATTGTAACTCAGATATCAGCTGGAGACCATCCTGCCCCTCCACATCTGGGAAATGTCTCGTGGCCGATTGTACTTTCCAAAATGGCTACCATGACCTTTTCAATCCCACATGCTCACTCCAAAACTTTGTGGTGGAGACTGTGCTCTGGCCAGAGTGGCTCAGTTGGTTGAGCATCTTCTGTGCACTGAAGGGTTGTGGGTTCGACTCCCAGTGGTCTCTCTGCCTGGTGCCTCTAGCATAAGGCAACAGATTTATGCTTCTGTCTCACATCAATGTCTCTCTCTCTCTCTCTCTCTCTCTCTCTTCCTTCCTCTCTAGAATCAATTAGAAGTATATCCTCAGGTGAGGATTTAAGGGAGAGAGAGAGGGGTGGGGGGGGACCCTGCTTACTTTCCTTGTATCCACGTGGGTCTTTCGACTGCTTTGACCAATAGAATGCAGTAAGGTGACTGTGACTTCCAAGGCTGGGTCAGAAAGGCAATACCTCTCCTACCTGGCTCTCGCATCTCTCAGGACACACGACTTTGGAGCCATGAGCAGCTGTGGAAGAAGTCTGGCCTCTCTGCAGACACCCGGCTAGAGGCACCAAGCGGGGAGACCACAACGAGACGGAGGGGAATTCTCGAGGAGCCTCAGCTGGAAGGGAATGACCAAGCCCACGCCCAGCCTCTCCAGCCCAGGCCCCAGACACCTGGATGGGGAAGCCTTTACAAGGACTCCAGCTGCAAGGCTCTCTGCCTGCACCCACAGGAAGGACCCCAGGCAAGAGCCCCCCGGCTGAGTCCAGTCAGTGCCCGGAACTGTGAGATAAACTAATAGATGATTGTTGCTCTGTGCCACTGAGTTTGGAATGGTTTGCTGTGCAGCGATCAATAACCAGGACAATTCAGCTCAAGCTCGAGCAATTCTGTGCCCCCTGGGGCTCAGGAGGCTTCTTGAGATTTCTGCTGATTCCTGGAGGAAAAGACTGGGTGCTCACTGTGGACCGTGACCTCGCACACTGCCTCTGCCCTGCCTCCCATGAACTCTTACACCGAGTCCGGCCCGATTGCAGTTCCCACGGCAGGAGTCACTCACACCAGGCATCTGAGTGAGTAGAAGACTTCACGGAAAATGTAAAGTCACGTTGCTGACCGCCCGGGCTTCTGTCGATTGCTGATTCTTCCCCCCACCTCTTCCCATTCTCACCTGCCTCTCAGCATCTCATCTTTCGAGAACATCCTTCCTGAGGGACACAGGGTGGGGCCAAGGTAGGAGACCCCACATGGAGTTACCGAAGCCCTAGAAGAGGGGAGGGATAGCCTCCGGGGCGGGAGGGGGGGGGGCGCGGCTTTCCTCTGACAGCTTTCCTGAGCTAATTGTGAAGGAGAATTCAAAACTGGGTTCTCAGTCTGTGGTCCAGCTGTTCCCGCAGCTGCTGGTGCTTGAGGGAGGCCAAGGGCAGCTGAGTCCGCTCCCAGCACCACTCCCACCCTCACCGCCCTGCCTCGCTGGAGACCCCTTTGCGGCCAGAGCTGTCAGACACTTAAGGTCAGGGGAGGAGTTAGGTCAGGCTCGGAATCTGCAAGCCCCAGAGTCGAGTCCTGGCTGCCCATGTGTTCATTGGCTTAACTTCTCTGATCTGTGGTCCACCATCACCTTAATTCGGTTTCACCCTGCACTCCAGCTGAGCTGGCTAAGGAGGTGTGAGGCCCAGACAGAGACTCTTCTAGGCTATTGTTATATCTTTCATCAAACTTTTGGGCAAAGGGACCACTGGACAGGAAGGAAGTAGGAACACACCCAGCAGAGGCTTCTGGACTGAAGGAGGCCCCAAAATTATGCAAAAGTCAGAAGGCAAGTCTAAGGACCGATGGACAGTGAAAGTTTAGATCTGAAGAATGGGCTGCCAAGGATGTATGTGTAGAGGGGGTAAGGGGGTTTGTATGGAGCTGGTTTTAGGGACCAGAACAGTAGCAGCTAGGGAAGAGGTATCTTCCCCTTAACCTGCTGTGGATTTGAAATTCAGAGAGGAGTTCCGCTAGTGCATGCACGTGTGTGTGCGCGTGTGTGTGTGATGTGCACGTGTGTGCTGGCTTATGTGTATGTGTCATGTGCACATGTGCGTGTGGTATGACTGCTGGCCCCTTAGCCGCAGGCTTTATGCTCCCACATGCCAGCCATGGTGGGCTTCAGGGCTCTGAATGGCACCTGCAAGTGCCTGGAGATGGGAGGAGAAGGGAATGACCAAGCACACACCTGTGCTGGGCTCTGTGCTGGCACCTGCACATGCACCACACTCACCGCCTGCGAGGTCAAGATGACCAAACCCACGGGACAGACTTCGAAGACAGGGTACAGTGAGACTCAGCACGGACAGAGCCACCCACCTGGGCCTCTATTCCTGCTTCCACCGCTTCCACCCCAGGGCTGGGGGCAAGTCACTCACCCGTCCTCTTTCCACCATCTGGGAGCGATGGGCAGTTTGTAGTTGGAGGCACATTTGATAGTTCCTACTCTGTTTAGTCTTTCATGTTAGAGTGAGGATGGAATTAAATATCATTTAATTTTTTTAAAAAAATTGTTGCCCTGGCCGGTGTGGCTCAGTTGGTTGGAGTGTCATCCCATACACCAGAAGGTGGTGGGTATGGAGGCAACCAATCGATGTTTCTCTCTCACATCAATGTTTCTCTCTCTCTCTCTCTCTCCCTTCCTTCCCCCCTCTAAAATAAAAAGCATATCCTTGGGGGGGGGGAAGAAACTGTCAAGTGCCATGACAATTAAAGGATTATAATTATTTTCCACAACAATAATAATAAGCTAAATCTGATTCTGACATAAAAATGCAAATAGCTGAAATTCAATGATGTAGAACAAATCAATTTGGGGAAAATTATACTCCATCTGCATTTCACAGAGCTCGTGGAAATGCGCATTGCCCAGCCATGAGGAGAACCAGAAGAGAGGGGCTCATTAATTCAGTACGTCTGTCTGACTCAAAGGCGAACAATTTATTCCTGAATAACTCTGCTGGGCTTAGGAAAGATTCAATGATTCAAATATTTCTTAAAGCCTTTAAGAGACATTAAGTGATCATTTGGATTCTAAGTAGGTCTCACTGTCAAAACCTCCTCAAAATGTGGGGTTTTCACACAGTAAAATAAAATAAAATCCAGAGCCAGAGGCTGCTGGCCACGCCCCTGCTACTTTTATGACGTTGACCTGGGCTCCCATTCCGCTGAGACATTGGCTGGCTTAGTAAGCACACTGCCCCCGAGTTTAGGGATCTAATCAAATGGAGCCTTCACTCAGTTCAGCTGATACTGCTTTGGCAAGTTTTCTGGGTAAGCCCCAAACTAGATTGTCCATCCTATTGTCCAGCTGTGTCTCCCACCAAATGACCCAAGTGTGAGTTTGGAAGAAAATGTCCCCTCTTGCTCTGTGCCCTCCTCTTGTTTCTGCAATGTAGCTTGCCTTCTGCAAGCCTCAGGAGCATCAATGACCAGGAGTTCCTCTGCCTGCCCCCATCTTCTCACTCTTATCCCTAAATTGTCTGCTAACCCCCGAGCTCCCATCCGCTCAGCTAAAGCTTTCGGGCTCCATAGCTGATGGTGCCTGCAGGACAACAGTGACTATTTTGGATGAGAAGAGGAGCCATCTCTTGAGGCATCTAAAGTGACCGGCCCATGAGATGCCAGAAGCCATGCTGGGGTCCCTACAGAGTGAGGAGAATGGCATCTCTCGTGTGTTGAACATGAACCCCAAAGCAGCTCTGCTTGAGCCCAGCATGTCCTCAACTTCCCTGTTGGCTTTTCCTCCAAGCCTTCTGCCTGAAGGGGCAGCTCATGAGGAGCTGACCTTCGGCCACTCCCTCCACCCTTCTGTCATCCCCTTCCCAAGGCAACTCTGCTACCGACTCTTCCCAGGACCCCAGCCAACCAAGGCCCTGTGCTTGTCACTCCATGTAAACAGGGGCCCGAGGTTGGACCGATGGACGGTCTGTTACATTAACAGCAACCCTCCAAATTCCATGTTGGACTCAGCTATAGCATCCAGCAATGGGAATTTTCTAATTCCAGATTTTTCTGTCCTATTGTAATCCATGTGTCAAACCATGTGTTTCAATTTTAAGGCTTAAAAAATGTGGTCAGCATGGTTCTGGGGCCTTGTCCTGGCCTTAAGTCCATTCTGACTCATTCACAGCTGTTTTCAAGCTCAGGACCATCTACACCTTCTCTGCCAAATGCCTTTTAGGCCAGGCTGGGTAATGGAGTGAAAGCCCATGTTTCTCACACATCCTCAGTGGTCCCCTCTTGGCCCCGAGAAGGCCACATGTCCAGGGAGGAAGAACTGACCCAAGTTAGAAGCCA